TTCAACTCCAAAAGACTGCAGAAAGGCTTAAGAAACTATTGGCATATGAAACAGAATAATATTAACACCTGCTGAATACAATACATTGGGGCAAATATTTCAGAATCTGGGTTTCAGCAGCAAAAATGTCTTGTGGTAACCAGTCTCTCAAATTGGGCATGACCAGTTCAAACCATTTTGCTGCCCAAGATAGATAACAGAAACAGCCCTCCTGTACAAAACCCAACCGGAGAGGTTGAATATCACGCCAACGTTAGCACTAAGATGGCATTTTTGGCATAAACAATGGGGTAAAAGGCACTGCCACCTCCACCCCGATTTGCTGCCTGAAGTTCACAATTCATAAAAATAGATTTATGTAAAGATGTAATGTTATGCAAAGGTAGATCTTGAGACCCAAAAGTCTTGACTTAGGAGTGAATCCTATTACTCCACCTCCCTCTTAAAATAGTTCAGAAGCATGTTCCCCTTTTGCAGACCAGACTTGGTAAACTGTGATACATGAATTCATAGCTAGGACTGGGAGTGAATCAAGGACTTTGGGGTTTAGGGTTCCCATCCCACCTCCGATATTCCGGACAATTTTGGGGGGTGGGGAGGTCTTGCTGCCTGAATGGATCAAAATACCTTGGACAACCAGCCCACGCAGAAGAAAGAAAACTCGCAGCGACCCCCTTATTCCTTTGCACAGAGGAAGAAAGGATGCCGGCTCTTTGAAAAAGAGAGTTACTCTGCCTGAGACACCACGCGAAATGACAGATCACCCCAAAGCTTCCCTGTAAAAATGTGGGGCGGATCCGGCAGGAGCGAGAGAGCAGAGGATCATTGAAGTCCCCGCGTAAAGGCGCCAATATGAACCGCGGTCCATGTCAAGAGAGCGACAGGGAAAAAGGAGAGGACAGAAAGAAATTCTCAGCATGGTTTTGCAGACAGACTATATACATGTGTCTTTTTCGCAAAGCTGTATCTGTCACTGTTTTCCATTCCTGGATCTGAGATTATAAATTAAAACACATTTCAAAAAGCAGAAACCTCTTAGCAAACGTAGCGTTATCTCCCGCTTCACACATATCTTTTTCCACCCCCTCCCCATAAAACTGCAGAGAAAGAAAAACCTGCTCCAATTGCTTTCTTACCGCTCGGTGTGCTTTGCACGCTTAAATTCCACGGCTGAAGTCAAATTGGCGTCCTTGATCCCTTCCCTGATTCAAGAGGATCTAAAAACAATGTCCCCGAAGTTGCAATTTGTAGCCCACACGTGCATTGTCGCTGGGGAGAAATAAGATCCAAGGACTGATCTGTCAGCGGCTCCTCTTCCTTTGTTTGCTCTAAACTGGAGCATGTTAGCTGGACTGCCCTCAGAGAAATCAAAGAATTTACTTTCCCAGGTGATGGGGGGTGGGGGGAAACCATTTCCTGCCTGGGTGCTCTTTAGACTCCACCCACTTTACCATCCCTGTGAGTTCTTAAACACTGTTTACCGCAAGGGGAAAAACTCCAAGGTCTTCTAACATCATTATAATCCATTATTTCCTTCTACCTTCAGCAGAATTAATGATTAACAATAGACATAGCATCAATATTTGTAATGTGTAAAGTGTGATGAACATGACTAATTGTGTCTTCTTTATTTCTCCATCCCTCCCTGTCAGGGGACACTGAAGATAACTTGTACTGAATCATCTTTTACACGCTCCTTGTTCCATGTACTATTTATATCCTGCTTTTCAGTTGTACAGCTTCACATAAGGGCTTGCAAATAACAAAGGTACGAAATATACATGCATATGTGTGAGTGTGTATACATATACAATTATACATGCATAATATGTGTGTGTATACAAAGATGTATGTATGTATTGGGGATGGGGTATAGGCTTAGCAGATAAAGTTGAGCTTATCAACTGGAAAGCTGACAGCCAGGGTTTGAGACCCAAGTGCTACATGGGGTGAGCTCCCGTTCCTGCCTCAGCTCCTGCTCATCTAGCAGTTTGAAAGCATGCAAATGCGAGTAGATTAATAGGTACCACTTCAGTGGGAATGTAACAGCATTCCCTGCACCTTTGGTGTATAGCCATGCTGGCCATGTGACCATGGAAATGTCTTTGGACAATGGTGGCTCCCTCAAGCCAAGAAATGGCGATGAGCACCATGCACTAGAGTCAGACACAACTAGAGAGGGAAATATTTAGTATATAGAGAAAGATAATAGATATAGATATAGTCAACTACCTGAAAGCTTTAAAGTATATAAAACAGCTCCCTTTGAGGGAGATGGCAGTTAAGAAAAACAAAATATAAATAAAACTGTAAGATGTAGAAAAATGCTACCCCTATGAAAGCTCTTTCTAGATCTATGTTTTAGATACGTAGATATTTAAATATTTACCATAGTTTTTTACCTCTTTCAAAAAAACTACTTTGGTTTTTATACACAGGTATCCTTGACTTATGACTACAACTGAGCCCAAAATTTCTGTTGCTAAGCAATACAGTTGTTAAGAGAGTTTTGCTCCATTTTATAACCTTTCTTACCAGAGTTATTAAGTGAATCACTGCAGTTGTTAAGTTTGTAACATGGTTGTTATTAAACCTGGTTTCCCCATTGCTTTTACTGATCAGAAGGTTGCACAAGGTGATCACTTGACTCTGGGACACTGCAACCATCATAAATATATCCCAGTTGCCAACCATCCGAATTTTGATCATGTGATCTTGGGGATATTGCAGCAATCATAATTGTGAAAAAATGGTCATAAGTCACTTGTAATTATGAACAATCACTAAATGAATGGCGGTACACACACAAATGCTAAAAAAAAAAAGAAAAAAGAAGAGAAGGGGCATATACATGGTCTGAATTTTAATAAAGGCTGTTTTCAGATTCATTGTTAATTGAATCATGGTTTATTGAACAGAACCATCTTCATGCTACCCACTATTAGGCTAGATGCCCATATTTAATGCTAGTCTTTTGTATCAATGCAACCAAAAATTTCCTTGCTCCTGAGAAACTACAAGTAAAAGTTTAAACAATCAGCAGACCAGCACTTGTAGAAGCAAAAGAAATTATAATCTCCAAGTGAGCAAAATATCCAAAGACAAAGCATAAACACCTCATCTTTTTTCTCCATTCAGACAGCACCATTTGATGCCTTTTGGGGACTTATAGTAAATTTCTGAGTGAAGTTAGGCAGTCCTCTATGAAATATTGCATACATATTTTTTCTCTCTCAATGGGGTAGCTGAACAGAAATGTTGGGCATTCTCTATCGCATGTTTCTCATGCTGATTGAGAAATTCTGGGAATTGAAGTCCATACATCTTCAGATTCCTGAGGCTGATAAACATTGCCCTTAATCAAATAAAAAGGCAGTAAGTGCCTGGTGGTACCTCATTGCAAAAAAGAATGTCCCAGAAGTATATCTCAGATGCATGAGTTCCATAGTAGCATCTTGGAAAAGAAGTAAATTTGAAGCAGAAGGTAAACAACAAATTTTATTCCTTAGTCATATAATCATATCAAAAACTTTGAAATCAATATAGTGAAAGTAGTGCTCATACTCATAATAATCATTTTTGCAGTGAAACCCTATCTATTTAGGTAGTCTATCCTTTTTGAAACAGCCTTTGATGTAAACATTTGTCTTGCTGGTGATATACAGGTTCATTCCCTGCATGAAGTATAGTTTCACCTGGATGTCTCAATATTTGTTCAGTTTTTAAATAAGGATCTAAGTAAATAGTCCTTTTTGTAGAACATAATTTGCAATTATACAGGATATGTGTGATGTCTTCAACACCACAGATATACAATCTTTCTTCAAATGGAACTCCACAGAATCTCCCATTATCTTACCATGGAATCTAGTTGTTCATCTAGACAAGATGTTGAGGCATGTAAGTTGTTCAATACTTTTCTAACTGGCATGTAAGTTGTTGGATATTTTTCTGTCTGGGAAGCTGATTTTCGTTGAGTCAGCAACTTCAAGGATTTCACAATTAAAAGAGTTGATATCATCTTGGACAACCATATCCAAAGACTATTTGAAGCTTTTCTTGGCCCTTCCATCTGACTGGACTGGGGAATCCATGTTGTTGGATGGCATTTGAAATTTAGGCAGTTTAAGTACAAGTAGATATATTAAGCGTTCTTCAAAATTCATCTTGGGTAAGAAGGTAAAAAGTAAATTTAGTGTGATTTTCTCCAACCTGGTACTGTACAGATTATGCCTGAAACACAACATACAGGATTCCCAGCTATCTTACATAAATATTACTGTATACTACTATGTAGAGAATAGTACTGCCGGGTCAATTGTTGATCTACTCACTGAAAACTTAACAGTTTTCTCATTTCAGCCCCCAAAATCATTCACATTTTGGCTTTCAAACAATGTGTTCAAATAACACATTAATGCAACCATGACCTTACTCAGTTAAACTCATATTCTTGGATTGCATGACACACTGGATCAAACTAATCACATCAGCTAGGTGTGGCTTACACAACACACAAAGCTAAATTGTGCCTTGCTGTGTTCACACGACACAGCAACATTTTTATTTTTCAAATTAGTATAGCTGCCTATTTCACAAAATAAGTGATTCTGGACAGTGTACAACAATGCTAAAAAAAAGATAATACCCAAACCAATCATTACAAAACATTACAAATTGTAAAATAAATAAATAAAAAGAAATAGTAAGTGAATATTCACCGGGAAACTGGTGAATATTTCACCAGTTTCCTGGGGTGCCCAGCCTGATGGCACACAGGCCTTGAGGGACTTTCAGAAAGTCAAAAGTGATAAAGCCAGTCTTACTTCAGGGTGGAGCATAGGTGCCACAACAGAAAAAGTCTTCTAAATCTAGCATACTGGAGCCAAATGACACACAGGATCTCAGGCAGATACAACCTGAGAGAGTAAGTAATTTGGTCTCGTACCCTATGGGACTTTAAAAATCAAAACAAGCACTTTGAATTGGAACTGGAAATAGATTAGTAACTAATGCATCTTGTGAAGCAAAGGTGTAATGTGAATTCTACTAGAAACATACATAACTGCCTGGGATACTGCACTTTGCACAGCTGAAGTCTAGATATTCTTCCAAGGACAACCCTAAGCCACTTCCTGATTGGAATAGTGTAATGTACTTCCACTTAGGGTTGTCCTTGGAAGAATATCTAGACTTCTTCCAAGGACAACCCTAAGTGGAAGTACATTACAATATTCCAATCAGGAAGTGGCTTAGGGCATGAGTGACAGTAAGTAGGGATGACTAAGCATTACAAATGTAGAAAAAAATAAATATATGAAGACAATGACTGAGAATGTGTTTAGATAATATTTTTGTAAGGAACTGGACAATTCAAAGCATTTCCTGAATTCAACTAAAAATGATATAGTGTAATTAATTCTATTTTTTATTCCATTATTTGAAGTATTAATAAAAACACAGCAATTTTCAGCAATTGATGTTTCTGTCAAACACGCACATAATAAATTGAATTATATCACTATCATTTTTATCCATAAGGATATTGATAGAAATTTAATACGTCTGCCTTTTCCAAATACCAGTATGCAAAATGATAGGAAAGCTTCATAGCTTAAATTCCTCAAATCAGTTTCCATTTCTCATGGGCACTTGTTATCTTAACAATATGTAGATGGTTCTCCCTTGTCTTTTTCCAACATATTATTAAATGACTCGTGACACCTTACACTGGTCTTTCATGCAACTATTGTTTAGGATTTTTAGGACCACCCAAAGAGGAGCAGGTGCTGCCACCTACTGTGACATTAGTTTTTGTATCACCATGTAGTTGTTAAAAGCATAAGCAGCACACCAAAAAAAAAATTACCATTTGAAGAGGGATAAAAAAATGTAGTACCTCCACTAAAAACAGCTTTTAATGACATACAAAAGCCACTTTGATCTAACTGTTAAGGCACCAGGCTAGAAACCAGGAAACTGCAAATCCCTATATTCTCTGTCATCCAGGTCATGGTTATCCCAAAGGTGCTTTTTTTCAAGAGGCAACTGCAGTTTCTGGTTTTTCTTTGAAGACGTTTTGCTTCTCATCCAGTAAGAGCTGAAGAAGCCTCTTGGGTGAGAAGCGAAACGTCTTCAAAGAAAAACCAGAAAGTCCAATTGCCCTTTGAAAAAAAAAGCACCTTTGGGACGGGAAATTGCGAGTTCTAGTCCCACTTTTAGGCATGAGAGCCGGCCATGTGAATCTCCATCTCAGCCCAATATTCCTCTCGGCGTTACTGCTGTGGCCAAATAAGAGGGAGAATGGAATACTTAAAGTACGGTAGATGCTTTGAGTTATTTATTAACAATAAAGACGGGATGATTAAAAAAAAAAAATTAAAAAAAGAGGGAGGAAACAAGACCTCTGAATGTGCTTTCCCAATTGTTATCAAAGCAATGCTTGTCAAAACCATGTCGCTTTCAATTACGACACCAGCTTCACCCAAAGCCATCCTTGAACCCGGAACGCTTCTCTCCCGCCGCCGCGCAAAGCCTCCGCGTCAGCGACCAACCACCACCATCCCCGCCCCCCCCCCGCCTCCTTTTCTAATGGCGTCATTTACGGAAACGGCGATCCTTCCGGCTCTGGCCCCGCCCTTTCCTTCTTTGGATCCCACCTCCCGGTTTCCAGCCTTGGGACGGCGGAGAGCGTAAGGGCTTCGAATGACTTGGAGGGAGGGGTCGCAAATGGGTTATCCGGGACCCGGAGAAAGCGGTGCTTTCCCTCCTCTGTGAGGCTGGGAACCAAGCGGGAACGGCGGATTCCTGGGAGGCAGATTAATTTCCAGTATTATCCCCCGTCCGGCACCTCTTTTAAGATTACCGGTAGAGAAGAGTTTTAACGTTGATGTTAGAATGTTAATTTCTTTTTATATCCCACTATTATTTTCATAAATAACTCAAAGCGGTAATCATGCCTAATGCTCCCACAGGTGCTTTTTCAGGAGGCAACTGGACTTTCTTTCAAAAAGCACCTTTGGGACAATCGTGACCTGGATGACTGAGAATCTCTACAGACTTTTATGCCTAGTGCTCCTTACTCCTGCACATCCTAGACTAGGGTTTCTCAAACTTCACAACAGGATGTGTGCTCTTCAACTCACAGAATTCCCCAGAGAGGGGGAGGGGTCTTGCACAGATTTGTCTTGTGTATCAATTGCACATCTTCCTGAGCCAGCAGTCATCTGCTTATGGTGACTTGTGCCTTATTCATCTGTTTGGATTACTATAACACACTGTACGTGGGGCTGCCCTTGAAGTGCAGTCAAAAGCTGCAACTGGTCCAGAATGCAGTGGTACAGGCAGTTTTTGGCATTCCTTGTAACCCTGCTCTGCAAGTTGTTCTGGCTTCCAGTAGGTTTTTGGGTGCAATTCAAGATGCTGGTCATTATCCAGGATGACTCATAGGGCCAAATTATTTGTGGAACACCTCTCTCCCATTGTTTCTGCCAATCTCACTATCTGTAGTAGAGAGTATATGTTCCCAGTCCTTTCTATTACATAATGTCTTTATGGACCCTGGCTCCACCTGCGCTGTGGAACTACATCCTCTGGAGATTCAGATTACTCCAACCTTGTTAGCCTTTTGCAAGGCATTGAAGACCTGGCTGTTCCCCCAGGTATTTGGGTCAAGAAGTAGATGGACTCATTACGGGTGAGTGGAGGGTTTTCTTAGGTGCCAAGGAATTGTCTAGCGGGGTTATTGTTTTAATCTGGTAAGCTGCCGATAGTCAATTGTGTGAGATGGATGGCTGTATTAAACATAATAAATAATCATTTCTAGGAAGAAAGTTGAAATATTAAGAAAAAATATATTTTAGAAGGTTTTCAAGGTGTGTTGGCTTCAATAACGCATGAAAGTTCTTTACTAAAATTATGCTTACGTTTGTTTTGCAGAATATCTGAATGATAGCAATCAAGTCATGTCAGCATTACGTGGAGCTGTTCATGCAAGATGGATCATAGGGAAAGTAATTGGAACCAAAATGCACCAAACAGCTAAAGTGAGAGTAACAAGGCTGGTACTGGACCCGTACTTAACAAAGGTAAAGAGCTGGGAGTGTCAATGGTTAAGCTTCAATTTATTGAATCATTTCTTACCATTAATTCATGGAGTTACTGAGAAAATTGTTATTATGAGATCGTGAAAAATAAAAATAAAATACTAGGATTATATAAGATGTTGTGTGTCTTAAAAAGTGGTCTTCAACTACCTGATGCCAGGTCCTAATCTTAATGCTAACATGCAGTTAATTCAAATTAATTTTATCTGATCTGACAGTACCTTTTCTATCTAAGTATGTTATTTTAAAATTAAAAATAAAAAAAAATCAAAAGGAAGGCACAAGGTTGTATTGACTTGAGAAATGTAGTTTGGTGCAGGCATAGGAAATGTTGATCTTGGCATTGGTTAAAATTTGTATGTTTTTAAAATAACTGATTCTCAAATCTCTAGATACCCAGACAAAAACTGGCATAAATCACAAATCACTCTCCCCCCCCCTCTCTTTTACAATACTAATGATTATGTTAAGAGTCTCCTTTTCACATGAGATAAGGAGACAAAGGTGACACTGCAGTACCACTGGCTGGGAGTGTCAATTATAGGCTTTAGATTAAGATTGTATTACCTTTTGTTAAAAAAAATTCCTATTGTAGTTGCCCAGACAAATACTATTAAATAATCAGATACTGGTGGGTAAACTTCATTGAGGGGGTCTTCTTTATTTCAGTCTCTTCTCTCTCATGTTTGGGTACAATCTGACTGAAGCAAGGATATCACGGCTTACCTCCATCACTGGAGGTTTTTAGGAAGAAATTGGACAACCATTTATCTGAAATGGTATAGGGTTTCCTGCTTGAACAGAGGGTTGACTAAGAAGATTATGTTATTTTGTTTTTCTGTGCATTTCAGTTACTATCAGTATATGGTATTGTTTGTCAACATTAATGCCAGTAAATAAAATATCAAATTAGGAGTAATGTTTGCAGTCTAGAAAGTTCACTGGATAGCACCAGTAAGTTCTCTGTCAGGCTAAATTACATTCATATAGTTGTCATGGGTAAAGTGAATGGAGGCATATTATGTATCTGCACTAATTCTTATAAACTTTATCTGTTTTTTTAATTGCAGTCTTTAAACTCAAAGCCCTCACATTTGTAAAAGTATTTTATATGGTGTTTCCCATGACTGCTACCAACCACAAAAACCAGCTGAGTGACTTTGAGCTAGCCACTCCCTCACAGCCCAAATCAGACTCTGCAACAAGCTAATTGAAAAATGATACCCCTTGCCACATCATGCACCAATAAACTTACTGTAGGAACTAGGCTAGCATAGTACAAAACAAGTAGACCCTGGAACTAAGCAGGACAAAAAACAATATAATTTCTATGGCATTTCTTCCAATTCAAATTTCAGGTGCTCTTAAATATCAGAATCCTTATGTCTGGTAAAGATTTTAAACCCATCTAACTGAAGGCACCATTTTAATCTTTCTCAAAATAACATAACTACCAACCATTGATCCTCCCACTCTTTCCCCTCTTCTTCTACAGTTCTACAAGAAGCGAAAAACATACTTTGCTCATGATCCTCAGCAACAGTGCATCGAGGGAGACATTGTCCTTCTGAAAGCTTTGCCTGAACGAAGAACCAAGAATGTGAAACATGAGATTGCTGAGATTGTGTACAAGGTTGGGAAAGTAATTGATCCCATTACGGGGAAACCGTGTGCAGGCCACAGGTTCCTAGAAAGTGTAGCAGACACAGAAAATCTGACTGACAGAGATACTTGCTTTCTTAGTGAAAAACTCCAAGAACTAACTGTTTCTTCTCCAGACAAATGAAAGGTTGGAAATAATTTGGGACTTGATTGTCTGTTTCAAGGAAAAGGTTTTATTGATGTATGTAGGAAGCATGAATAATAAACTGAAGTTAGTGTGTACATGCAATAAAATGTTACTATTTGTTTTTAAAGTATTATATGTTCACTCCTGCCTGAAGGAACATAAAGCAATGTATAAACTGAATATTTTAAACAGTTCCAGTAAAGCACTAGAATTCAGTTACAACCGATACAATAAACAAGTAAACCAAAGCCCCAAAAGCAAACAAAATGATGAGGAAATACTGCATCTTATTAGTGGAAATAGTAACTTGTTTACTCTGATGTTTCTCTGAACTGAAACTTACTTGCTTCCTGTAAATATGGGGAATTCAACTTTGGAGAAGCCTATTCAGTTTAGTTGTTTGGCTTTCTATGAGTAATGTTTTCTGGGGTTTACTAGTTTTTTAACCATTTATAAATAATGAGAAGATCACTTAGTTAAAAAAAAAGTTTGGATTTCCATCATCAGCAATTTCCATATCATACAGTATGCCTGATAGCTGGCCAAAACTTTCCTGGCCAGAATTTCATTTTCCTAAATACTCTCCTACACAATACACTGCTAATAAAAGTATACCTCTACTGTAATATTGTATTGACATATACAATCACCATTTCTTGAATCAGATTTGGCTCTTGGGATGACTACATGGGAACACCTTTATTTATTAAATTTTAATGCTGCCTATCTTCTCTTATGAAGTCACTCTTGTTAGGCTTTTATTTTTATTTTTTTGCCAACAATATCAAAATGGCTTATCCCTGGCTTCTAATATATAGCCCTGGGGTTTTCTGGCAGATTTCGTTCTGACTAGTAACTACAATCAATCAATCAATCAATCAGAATAGAGCTGGATGGGTTCTTGGAGGTCTTCTAATCCAGCCCCCTAACAGCCAATGCTGGTTTGTTGTTTGGGGATCAGTTTGGATTGACTGGGTGATATTTGTTTACCTGGATATTCAAATACAGCCAAAGCATATTCATTTCATTAAAATGTCCCGATTTTTTAAAAACCAAAATGTTATTGGGGAGATGGGTGAATCTGAGGAGCTGGTTTGGCATTAAATCAAAATCTTCACATTGTTTGCGGAAAAACAAGCATCTAGGAATATCTTTTGCTTTGGTAATTTTATGAGTGTATATCTAAAATCTCTTTCAAGGCTGTATGCCCTCCCAAATAGATGGAGGAGGTGGGGAAATCCACCTCCTGGGGGGGGGGGTTCCCACCGTAAATATTCTTCCATTTCCTCTGGATGAGCTGTATTTTTGAACACGGCTAAATCTATAGAAGTCTTGCAGGTAGGAAATAGAGCAGTAGCGAGATTTATTTCGCGGGCTGCCCTCCCAAAATCTTTTTTGCTATCCCATTTTTCCCTCCTTTCAGTCGCGTCATATTTGCGACTTACGCAACTCGGGAATCCACGCGGAGTTCCTCGGCGACCCCTCACCGTCCCGCGTCTCGCATTGCGCGCGAGGCAAACCTGCCCCTTCCACCCCTCCTGTCCCCGCCCATCCCCTTCGCTATCCTCTCCTCGCAACCCTAATGCCCCCTAGTGGCTGACCAGGTGCAACGCCCCGCTCTCTCGCCCCGCTCCCCACCGCCGCCAGCGTAGGTGGTCAAGATGGCGGCCGGAGTGCTGCTGAGGGGGAGCGGGGGCCGCCTCCGCTGCGGCCCCTTCCCGGCACCGGGGGCCACTTTCCGTCTTATCTACCTCAGGTGAGCGAAGCTGCAGAAAGGGGAGGGAAGCGTGTCCCGCGCGCATCCCTCTCTTCACCACCACCACCCCGTCCCGCGGCCGCCGTCATCCTCAAGGTCACGGGCAAGTCAGGTGGTTTTTAGGAAGCTCCCCGTTTCCTTCGCTCTGGGAGGGAAAAGCAGAACACCAGCCCAGTCCAGGGAATGGTTGTAAATGCGCCCATGGACGCGGCTGGTGCCTAATACAGCGCCCAGGCTGGATCTGTGTAACCCTTTGCAGACTCTTTATTATGCTCCCCCCACCCCCGCCGGTCTAATGCTCCAGTGGCTGGTTTCTTGCAACACGCGTGCGCACTGGAGGAGTGTGGCTGTGTTTTTTGGGGGGGGGGGCGTGTTGGGTAAACCCCCGACAGTTTATGGTTCAGGATAGAGGATGGAATGATTTAGTCGTCGTGTGAAAGGATGTCCCGTTCATGCCCTCTGCCCATGTAAACTAGTTTGTTTCTTCTCAAAATCCCCATAGTTAAGCCCCAGCAAAGACGTTTTGAGACACCCGCCTCATCCCATATTACAGGAACACTTTATTTCAACTCTTTATTTCAAAGTGTCCATTTGTATTCTTATTAAATTGTAAGTGACTTTGGAGCCCTTTATGATGGGTTGTAAGTATCCTCTTAGCAATAGTCGTTGGATAATATAGGACATTCCTGTCATTTCAGTATTGCACACCAAATGCTATGTAAAGTAACCTGCAGCTGTAGATTTTTCGTCTTTCTGCTTCCACTTGTCATCCACTGGATCATTCTTTCCTAGTATGCTATACTAAAAACAGGCAAAGGCCTGGCATAAATATATTAATATACATTTTATCAAGCCATTCCCTCTCCATTTATCTGTGAAGCCCATTGGCTACCTCCCTGCCCATGAATTGGCTCTTCTTCAATTACTTTAGTTAACAGCGATATATGCCACTAAAGCCCCCCTGGATTTTATGTAGCACAGACAGGTTAGTCTTTGTGCAAAATGTCTATGTAGACTCTCAGTCATCCCTCAGATCAGGGTTGTCCCAAAGGAGCTGAAGAAACTTCTTGGATGAGAAACATCTTCAAAGAAAAACCAGAAAGCCCAGTTGTCTCTTGAAAAAAGCACCTTTGGGACTTTGTACAAAAATTAAAAAATAATGGACACAAGGAGTTATCAAAGAGTAGCAAAGTAAAAACAGAACATTCTCAGGTTTATTTCAACACGGATCTCATTGAGTCGGAGACAGCTGAGCATTGAAATGTTTCAAGCTTTCTCAGAACAATTTAGCAAACAAAAGGGCTTTAGCACATTGCAGCTGTTAATAATGTGCCTGTAATTGCCCCCCACCATGGAACTTTCATCTGCAAAACTTCCTTGTTTTCCCTCTCTTGACTCATTTAATTCATTTAAATAGAATTAGAATTAGAATAGAATAGAATTCTTTTATTGGCCAAGTGTGATTGGACACACAAGGAATTTGTCCTGGTGCAAATGCTCTCAGTATACATAAAGAAAAGATACATTCCTTAACAATCAAGAATCATAATGTACAACACTTAATGATAGTCATAGGGTACAATAAGCAATCAAATCATACTAGGAAACAGTCAATATAAATCGTAAGAATACAAGCAACAAAGTTACAGTCATACAGTCATAAGTGGGAGGAGATGGGTGAAAGGAAGGATGGGAAGATTAATAGTGATAGTAATGCAGACTTAGTAAATAGTTTGAGAGTTTTGAGGGAATTATTTGTTTAGCAGAGTGATGGCATTCAGGGAAAAATTGTTCTTGTGTCTAGTTGTTCTGGTGAGCAGTACTCTATAGCATCGTTTTAAGGTTAGGAGTTGAAACAGTTTATGTCCAGGATGTGAGGGGTCTTTAAATATTTTCACAGTCCTCTTTTTGACTCGTGCAGTATACAGGTCCTCAATGGAAGGCAGGTTGGTAGTAATTGTTTTTTTCTGAAGTCCTAATTCCTCTCTGAAATCAGTGTCTGTCTTGTTGGGTTTCAGAACTAAACTAGACAGTTATAGAGGTGACAGAGGACAGACTCAATATTCTCATGAATGATATCACTTTGCATATGATCAAGTGAGCTTCTTCCCAAGAAAGCTTATAGTTGAAATAACATTGTCAGTTTCGAGCAAGGGCTATTGGACACTGTCTGAATTTTTTTTATCAAGGAGATCCATTGTAGATGGCTGCCACGACCACAATTGAATCCAAAATTTCTATTACTAAACAAGGCAGCTGTTAAGTGAATTTTGCCCTGATTTATGACCTTTTTGTCATAGTTGTTAAGCAAATCACTAAGTGAATCATGTGGTCATTAAGCGAATCTGGCTTCCCCCATTGATTTTGCTTGTTGAAAACCAGCTGGAAAATTACAAATCACATAATCCTGGGACAGTGCAACTGTCATAATACATGTCAATTGCCAAGTGCCCAAAGCTTGATCAAGTGACCATGGGGATGCTGCAACAGTCCTAAGTGTGTTTATCATCCAATAATAAACTTCAAATGGCCACTAAACAAATGGTTGTAAGTCTAGGACAACTTGTACAACTTTCCACATGGCTGTGAAGTTATATAAAATCATACATTGCAATGTCCTACCTGTCAATGAATACTTCAGCTTCAACCATAACAATACAAGAGCAAACAATAGATACAAACTCAAGGTTAATCGCACCAAACTTGATTGCAGGAAATACGACTTCAGCAACAGAGTGGTCAATGTCTGGAATACTCTACCTGACTCTGTGGTTTCTTCCCCAAACCCCAAAAACTTTAACCTTAGGCTGTCTACTATTGACCTCACCCCTTTCCTAAGAGGTCTGTAGGGGGCGTGCATAAGCGCACCAACGTGCCTACCGTCCCTGTCCTATTGTTTCTTTTATTTTTCTTATATGTATCCATGTATTCATAACTATGTTTTTACTTATACCTATTATCTTGTAAGCAATTGACAAATCAAATAAATAAATAAATAAAAATAAAAAGTTTACTCGATGTGTTTGGATTAGTCACCATACTAATCCAATCCTAACACCATTTGCTCAATATATGAGCAGTTCCTTCTCAAAATCACTTTTAAAGTTGTGCATGGCATGGGAACAGTTACCCAAGCAATATCTTGTCCTGATTATATCGTTGTGTACCAACCAATTAGGCAGGGAGGATATCTTATGGCTCTCATTGGATAAAGAATTTCACCTTGTAGGTACCAGGAAGATAGTCTTCTCTGCCATTGCCCGGCCCCTTTGGAAAACCTTACCCCCAGGGATGAGCCCCCACTCTCCTAACTTCAGAAAGATTGTTAAAACCTGGCTCTGCCAATTGGCGTGGGAGTCAAAGAGTGTTAGACAATCCTGGAGATGGTTGGTTTCATGAGAGTGTTCTCTCCACCTTTTAAACTTTTAATACAGTAACCCTATCTTTTAATTCTGTTTTTAATTTTGTTCTTATTTACACTTTTATATTTTGTAACATAGATGAAATGGGCAATATAGAAATGGGATGGATGGATGGATGGATGGATAAATATGCATCATATGGTGGTTGTGAGGAACAATGGAGAGAAAAAAACAGATGACTGAGAACCTTGGGTTTTTAGGTGAAAGGTGATATATAAAAATAATAAATAAAAATCTGTATCAGAACTTTCCCCTGCATATCCTTATAATTCATAGCCATCCACACCAAGTCTCTTTCAAATGAAGGTTTCAACTATTTTATGCTCTTTGGCCCTAGATACATTTCTGTTTCATGCATCTTTCTGATTTTCCATTCCTAGAAGTCTTCCCCAACCTGGTGCTTCCAAATATGTTATCCCAGTCAAAAAAAAAAAAATAGCTTTGAGAGAGAATTGTTACTAGGTGGTAAAGAAGAACACATACTTTTACATTATTTTTCCTCTATATTTTCACTTTTAAAAAGTAAGAGAAGCATAATCTCTTATCCATATCTATTAATCATAGCTGTTCAGTGTCTCCTTGTACCACAAGATGAGTAGCATATAAATTTGATCAATAAAAATAAATAAATTCACACTGGGATCATTTAAAACACATTCAAGGAAGTAACCGAAACAATTGGAGATGATCCAAACTATTCTTTACTGAAAAGAGTGAATAATCAAACCCCATGTTTTAGAGGCCCCAATGTAAGATTAATGTGAATAGGTTACCCATGTATAGCATGCATGAGTGCAGTAAACACCTTTAAGGAATGACAGAGGCTAGTGTTTGGTAACAAAGGCTGGATAAAAATATTCTGATTGAGCTACTAAATCCAGAGTGTAAAGATGTTCTGGTATGTATTGTTTATATTTTGTTAAAAACTATGCCTGATAAAGATGTATGGGCAATTCAAACGTCCTTGAGATGTACTAGTTTCCTAGGAAACAGGATTTTCTCGCAAATTAAGTAATGAGGCCCTGGAATTATTATTGTATGATTCACTTCTATTGTATGATTCACTTCTACCCAATTAAGTCTAACCATTTTGACATGAATTAAGAAGCAAGAGTGATACTTATATGACATCACTATTTATGGCTATACTTATATTACTGTCTTGTACATAAAACATTCTGAATATATGGACTAGAGCCACTGTTAAGGCTTACCTTGTGGCGATAAGAGTAATGAAGCATCATTAGTTCTCTACCATTACTGTATCTGTGGAAAACCATCTCATGGGCCTATTTTAGGTGATAGATGTCCTCTTGGATAGAGCAGGGTGGGGTTGGAGATCCCTTGCAGGAGTCTGCAAAAGAATTTGTTTATCTATCTTGCAAAGTCACTCAAATTTGCTCACTGTTGAACCCTGGCTTTGTTGCAGATCTGGGAAGGGTTTGAACCTGTTGAGCCTGAGGAAGTGAACAGAGACCTTGGGATTAATTTGTAGTAAGACACAGAGAGGGACTACCTAGAAATTATATCTTCCCCACTGAAGTTAAAAACTTATGGCTCTCCAAAGACAGTATTACTAAACTACAATTCTCAGTAACTTCAGTCTGGGGTAAACTGGGAATGCACTGGGATTTATAGTTAAGCAATTTCTGGATGGCTGCAGATTCACGATGTTAGATTAAATGAATACTTAGATTTCAGTATAGTTGAAGTATCCTTGTTATATTAGTAAAACCTAAAAGAGCATGATCTTATATATCCAATTATATGTCTGTCCCATTGTTAGACATTTAGATAAAAAGGCTCTGCAGCCTTTCATATCTAGTCTTCAGACCACCTTCAAAAAGTACATGATCATAAACATAGCACTTACTGTTATTACGGTATTAACATTGCATCTATGTGCAAAACCTTAAATCTGCCATACTTTTCCTGAGGACTATGCAGCTATTACTATGCCTCCAGAAAAAATGCTGTTTTAAGATGTTTCATACAGATGGCACACTTATACTTTTTAAAGTAGCATTTGAGCTACCACATCGCTTTAGTAGGTAGTTGATAAATTGAAATTGTTAACTTTTAAGGTGTTTTTTTAATCTGAAAAAAATATGTTGGTAGTTCTGATTGTGACTATGTGCCATCAAATCATTTTTGATTCTTTGAAACCACAGAGATTCTCTCTAATGAGCTATCCTATCTAGTCTTGATTAAAAAAAATTAATCTGTCTAATATCACTGCAGAAAGTTAATCATGTAAGTTGTATACCATTGAGATGTTGTTTCCACATTTTACTATTTTTATTTCTAAAATCCTTGAAAAGATTCTCTGACAACATACTAGTTACAGAAGACTTCTTTAAATTTGTGCTTTCTCTTTTACCAAAATAAAGAATATTGACAAGAAATGTTTAAAAACAGAAGAACATAGTGGTAAATATTTTAAAAAATAAATGTGTATCTTTTATCTTGTTGCATGCATATAAGCTTATCCAAATTTAAATATACATAAACATAATTTTACTTAAAAAGACATTTGTACAAAAATAAATGCAATGTTGGGAATTAACTCTGAATTAACTATAATTTATATATTCTTTGACCATTTCTTGCAGGGGCCTTGCCTTATCACATAACCAATCTGGAGAAGATAGTTGGCTAAAATCACTGTTTGTCCGCAAGGTTGATCCCAGGAAAGATGCTCACTCCAACCTCTTAGCCAAAAAGGAGACTAGCAGCCTTTATAAATTGCAGTGTGAGTGTTTATTTCTATATTTAACATTTCTCTATTACAGTTTACGTCTTTCTCTTAATCGTTTAACATTGATGTTTGATGTTTCAGTTCACAATGTCAAACCGGAATGTCTAGACTCCTACAACAAACTTTGGTAAGTCCTGATATCCGGCTAGATGCTTTCAAGTTCAGGTATCAGACAATGTATCTTACATATATTTACTTACAGCCAATTTTATGAACTTAGTAAGATTTCTAAGTAAACAAACATAAGATTGGGCAAATAGTTCATCTGCTCATTTGAAAGGAGCAAGAATAAGTTATCTCAGGTTATAAAATGGATAGTATTTGAACTCTGTGTTGAAACAATTAGTACAACAGAGAGCCAGAACCTTTTCCCCATATGCATTTTTGTATTTGTAGGGAGATTTTTGCATACTGTAAGATGAGCCATGAAACAGGAAGTCTGCTATGGTTCTGTTGTTCAGGACTGTACCACCTCATTCTGCTGAACGTGTAAAAGTCATAATTATGCTATTAAATATGAGAAATATCCACTTATTAACTATGCAGAAATACTCTTGAAGTGCTCTTCTTAAAAGCAATAACTGCAGATTTCCCTTCGTCAAGGCATATCTAGATTGCCAACTTCAGGTGCTTTTAAAATATCTAGATTTTCACAAGGATCCTTAGTCATTGATGTTTTGTGAAGATGCTGTGGAGAGATCTCTTACAGATTTAGCAGAATAACAGTTGGAAGGGACCTCAGAGGTCTTCTAGTCCAACCCCCTACTCCAGCAGGAAACCCTATACCAGGGGTCTGCAACCCGCAGCTCTGGAGCCACATGTGGCTCTTTCAGCCCTCTACCGTGGCTCCCTGTTGTCTGATCCTACCACTGGCTGGCCCCTCCCCTCCCCGTCATCCTCGCCTGGCCTGAGAAGGTAAGGGTGATGGCGGGGGATGGAGACTCGTTCCATATTCCAGATCAGGAGGTGACTGGGTGGGAGTGAGTGATGTTGAGTTGCCCATGCCCCCCCCAGTCACATTGGTTGTGAAATTATTGGCTCCCGGGGGGTTTCTTTTCTGTGGGAAACAGGTCCAAATGGCTCTTGGAGTGTTTAAGGTTGCAGACCCCTGCCCTATACCATTTCAGATAAATGGTTGCCCAATCTTTTCTTAAAAATCTCCAGAGTGATTTTTTCACCACCTCATGAAAATGCAATTTCAAGAAGGCCAGGAAGATTCAGCCTAGATTGTATTAGATACTGATAGGCAACAAAAGTGTTAGTAACAATCAGCTGTCACCTGTAAACACTTCAGAAGAAAGCGAAGTCGATAGCATGCAGCTTATATGCATTCCTTTTGTTTTTGTTTTGAATCAGTGAAAAAGTTCTGCCAAAGATCCATGAAGGGAAGGAGTATCCATGTACATTGGTGGGGACGTGGAACACGTGGTACGGAGAGCAGGATCAGGCTGGTAGGAGATAAGACATATAGCAGAATGCAAAATCACTCCAATGTTTGCGAGAGATGTTTTGTTCCAATCTGGATGTGAAGTTACAAAGGGTGGGCAAGGAAAACACAAATCTACTTTACAAAGTAGATTAACAGAGGGCTGATTACAAAGAGGTGATCAGACTCAAGTCCTGCAGGGTCTAAGAAAAAGCAAATACTGACCCAGCAAAATTCAAATGCTCTCTGGAATGCTTACATCTGATGCAGCAGATAGAACCAACCTATGTCTCTCCTGTAAGAAAAGAGAATTTAAATATGCATTTTTTGATATTATTTTACATTTTGATTTCAGTACATCTCTGGCGGTATGAGGGTGGCTATCCAGCCCTTACAGAAGTCATGAGTAAACTTAGAAATGATAAGGTAAAAATGTGTGATTTCTATCAATACTTTCTAACCTTTTTAGTAACTTCTGGTTTGGAGTTTCCCTTCCTCTCATGAAGAGAACTTATCTTGCTCTTGTTTTATTCTGGATACTTTGCTCAGTGGCTTGTTCCACGCCCCCACCCCTATAAAAACAAACAGGGCTATATCAGAGAGAAAAATGAAAAAGGCTGCTTATGATTGGTGATATATGAAGAAAAAAAAATCAGTGGCCACATGGAAGGGACTTTGGGCTTGAAAGTGGCTGCTTGAGAATTGGTTCAATATAGTCCTCAGGATGCTTTGCCATGAAAGCTTAGCTCCTCTTATCTACTTCTATTTGCAAGGTTATCTAATTGTCTACTGTAAAATTAACAGACATAGCCCAGTTTCTGACATGTTTCTGTAAGCTGACTGTCTCTTCCAAGAATTCATGTCTCTGGGACACTGCTATAATATTGTTAGTGGAGGATTATATTTTAGAAAAGTTTTCTGCAGCTTCATCACCAGGCATTAGTGGCTCAATTTTGTTTGGAGCTATATCCCATTATCCAGCTTTACAGAAATAAATAAATGGAGAGCTGTGCCTACTTATTTCTGATATTACAGCAAGTTTTGTACTATTTAAGAAAAAGATGAGTGATTTTTATGTTAATATAGCACCATTTTATAATGTAATAAAATTGTCTATCTGACTGCTTGGTCTTAATTAAAGTTACATATTTTAATCCAGTCTTCTTCAACCTGGTGCTGTCTACATGTGTTGGCTTTCAATTCTTGGAATCACTGTTGGATATGCTGACAAGAGATTCTAAGAGCTGAAGCCAAATACATTTAAACTACACCAGGTAAGGAAAAGATACTTTAAAGACTATACCATTTTTCAATCATATGAGGTCTCTTCTTATTCTCACGCTCTTTTTTTCTCTCTTTTGGCTTTCAAAAGATTAGCTTATGTATTTTTGAATAACTCAGTACCTCAAATCTTATATAAAGTAAGATTTATTCAAATAGTATTTACATTATCATTGACAGGTCTAGAGTTTGGTATCTATTAGGAATCACTCATATACAACCATCCATTCATCCATTCATTTATTTTCTATAGCCGCCCAACTCAACCAAGTGACTCTGGATGGCTTATAATTCTAAAAATATAAAACAATTAAAACAATATAACAAACATTAAAACAATAAAAAACATCCACAAAATAAATAAATACAAATAGCATCCATGATGATTAATCAACTAATGGTAAAGGCAAGAGACAGGACTCTTAAAACATTCCAATCCCAGGTACATAGCCATGTTTTTAAGCTTTGGGAAAACCCAACAAGTTTGGGGCATTTGATGTCTTTCCATCATTGAATTATAAATATTTAAAGAGAATCTGGGTAAATTCTTTTTAAAAATATAATGTCTTTTCACAATACCCTTAAGGAATCCAATTTTTTGGGTGGTTGTTTTTTAGGAATTTACAGAGTTTCGCAAAGCAAGAGGAAATATGCTTCTGTCTCGTAAGAATCAGTTGCTCTTGGAGTTCAGCTTTTGGAATGAGCCTATTTCCAGGCCAGGACCCAACATCTATGAATTAAGGTCTTATCAATTACGTGTGAGTGAGCTTTTTTCCAGAGGTATAGAATTTGCATAACTTATTTTTTAAAATCAGTTAAAGAAGAAGCATAAGTGCTTTTAGTATAACCTCAGGACTTAGCCTGAATCTTATTGGATTAACAGTAGTTAATTACTCAGAAATAACGTCTTAAGACTGCATACTTGTGGAAGCTTATTCAGATAATACAACTGATAGACAAAAATGGCAGTTTGGTTCTTGATAGAAATGCCTAATTAGAGTACCAATATTATCTATGTTTTATTTGTTTTCTGCTGAAAATTATGTTGCTTTTGAAAAGAAACTAAAATGGGATTAGTAAACTAAAACAAAGAAACTAGAAACATGGGTATTAATTCTTAGCTTGTGGGTGATAAGAAAAAACTGTTTTAGATCTAATGATATATTTTGTTTCTTTTCAGCCTGGAACAATGATTGAATGGGGCAACTATTGGTAAGTGCCATAATGTGTTGAAGATGGCATTCTAGATTGCAGTATAAGTTTATATGCTGCTTCCAGGGATTGGAAGAAAATTACTAAAAACAAAAATAATAGTGCAAGACTAACTAGGTATCATTTAATACAATATTCTATTTCCCAAATACCTGTTGAGATTATTATGAATATGATTATCCCACTCAACCTTAGCATCTTTCATTATTGTAAATAGCTCAAAAAAATCTATCAGGAGCCTTCATATATGCTCTTGCGCATTCCTTCTTACCTGACTCTCTGTTAACCCAGAAGGACAAACACCTTTATGATAAACAAAGCCCTACTGGGAAAAATAAAGGTACACATTACAAAATGAAAATGAGAGAAGAATTTTCCAGCTTTTTAGAAATAAAACATGTGCATAAATATTGTTGGTATAAACAGTGACAAGTATAAATCATACCTATAATGCGATTTATATCTTTTATTTTTAGATGCGCTTGAATTTTACGACTAGGTTGAGCCTCAGATTCTCACCTGCAAAATGAGAAGAGTAGGAGCTTGCTTTGTTGAACTGATTGTAAATATAAGTAAAATAAGTTATGTAGCATTGCTACATTAAGCTAATAATTATTTTGGATAACATCCTCTTCAGTAGTATTGGCCATAAATGCTTTTTTTAAATTTAGAAGACAAAAGTAAGAATTTATTCCAGACACATTCATACTCACATCCCATTTTTTCCAGTTCAAGACTACATTAATATGGCTCATTAGTCAAAATCACTTTTATCTGACTTTCTATATAAAGTGACTGGTCCATTATTTTAGGACAGGCTAATTAACCCTAGACTCAGAACTTCCAGAAAAAAACACACGTATAAAAAAAATTCTTTATATGAAGCAACCGCTGGAATCCTGAGAATAAGGAACTTTGGTTGGTCATCATAAACAGTAATGCTTGAAACTGTCTAACTTAGTATAAGGCAGTTTGAGGACAGAACTGGAGAACTTGGAGAAGTTGTTGAATGACAAATACTATCCTGGGCAGCATCTAAAGGGCATCTCCTGTATCCTGGCTCTTGACAAATTGGATTGGTTGTCTGCAAAGGCCGATTTCAAAACCTCTAAATTCTTCAGTGTTCTACAAATCAAGGAGACTGCCCTGCCAGATTTGTTTTAATAAAATATATAATAAGGCAACCCGAGTTTGATTTCAGAAGGGAGACTTTACAAATGCTTTAAATAAATAAAAATGGTTGTAAAATCATTAATGGGTTCAAGGTACTTTTTAAAATTATAAGTAATCTACATCAAGCTGAATTAGGCCTCGGTGCTGTAATCCAAACACTGCTGTTGGCTTCAGGTCTTCCAAACTATTTCTATTGCTCCAAATATTATTTAAAGCAGTAGGCGGCTCTGCAATCTGTTGCTTTTTTATTGCTGTGATTGAAATACGATGCAGCATTTATGTCAACTGCAGCATTTGGTTTGTAAACCTCTGTCTCCTTACTTTCAGGGCCCGGGCTATTCGAATCCGGCAGGATGATAAAGAAGCTGTTGGTGGATTTTTCTCACAGATTGGGCAGTTATACATGGTCCATCATCTTTGGGGTAGGACTAGACTTCAGTGTCTAGGCCATGTGTGCCTAATTCTAATTGGTTTAAAGCAGGGGTCTCCAACCTTGGCAGCTTTAAGACTTGTGGACTTCAACTCCCAGAATTCCTCAGCCAGCAAAGCTGGCTGAGGAATTCTGGGAGTTGAAGTCCACAAGTCTTAAAGT